CATATGAATGTACAGGAAGGAACAGCAATGCAGCTTCTGAGGCTGCTGCACAAACCGGAGCAAAACAAAAATCTTTTTTTAAGGAGGGGGGAGGCAGCTTTTGTTGGGAAAGTGACTGCTTCCACTTCATTAAGAGGTCGCACAGTGGAAAGGGAGCGTTTTTTTTTAACCATAGATGTGCAGAGGTATCATTAAAGGGTTAATTTGGTTGACCAGCAGCACCAGAATGTCTTGGAGCTGAGTGCCTTGGATGCCAGCTTTTACATATGTGAAGAAAAGTGAATCTGAAGCAGGCTGTGCATATTATTTATGTACACATATCAAAAATATACCTGGGTATGACTGCTGACCTCATGTGTGCACTGAGGATAACTATGCCTGTGAACATAACAGATTAGGGCCCTCTGGATGTGGTTTATGTCATTTTCTTGTTCTGTTACTGCGTACTTGTGGCACGTTTGCTTTGACTACCTTGACAACTCGCAGAGAACTGATCAAGTGTCATCGTTACTTGCTGCACGAGTTCAGGTTTCTCCTGTTTTGGGCACAGCTTCTGCCTCCAACACATAACAGATAATTAGCCTTACTTCTCCCGCAGGCAATAATCTGTTATTTGATGTGTCATTTTTTTATTCATCCTCTGCCCTGCTGTTAAAAGCCAACACAGCGTGATAGCTCACTTTTTTTTCCTTTTAATTCAGATTTTCAGTGTTACAGAGTACATGTTTATGTACAAATCCTGCCATTATGTAAAACTAAATCTCAAGGAGAAAAATGTGCTAACAGCCAGTACTTTATATTTCCAATACAAACAAAATAATCTGTTAATTAGCTTGTGTTGTGTTTTGGAAATATAACAAGACTGCCTTAACCTCGGTGTAAGGGACGTGTGTATTTGCAGGCCTCAAAAAGAGGAGCTGATCACCTTATTTTTCTGTACTTGGACTCTGAACCGCGATGTAGCATTGCGAAGTTGTTGTGGGTCATAATGAAACATTTTATCTTTTATATATATATGTGTAAACATGCTGTTGATGTTAAATGTGTTGTAGTCTGAAATAAACTAATCTATTTAACATCACTTTCTAAATGAAGCCATGAGCACTTCAGAACATACACCAAACTCTTTATGGTGGAAGGTTGTTTCTGTGACTTATTTCATTTTTTTCTTCATTGTTAGTAAATCAAATTCTGAGGTATTATGTATAAATTTTGACTTTTAATTCAATTCAATTTTATTTATACAGCGCCAAATCACAACAACAGTCGCCTCGAGGTGCTTTATATTGTAAGGTAGACCCTACAATAATACATACAGAGAAAAACCCAACAATCATATGAACAAGTACTTTGGCAACAGTGGGAAGGAAAAACTCCCTTTTAACAGGAAGAAACCCCCAGAACTGCCAGGCCCGGTTAGGGTGAGAAGAGGAAGACAGGATAAAAGACGTGCTTAAAGTAAAGTGAGTAAGCACAGGGTGGGCCATTTATATGGATACACCGTAATAAAACGGGAATGGTTGGTGATATTAAAGTCCTGTTTGTGGCACATTAGTATATGTGAGGGGACAAACTCCAGATCGGCGCACAGAATTTGCAGAATGGGCAAAACAAAAATTGGAACAGGACCCTCAGTTCACGCAGAAGATTTTGTTCAGTGATGAGGCAAACTTTTATGTGAATGGTGAAGTTAACAAACAAAACCACCGCTATTGGTTTGACACTAACCCACATTGGATGGATCCCTCCAAGACTGTTGGAACAACAAAAGTGATGGTTTGGTGTGGTATATGGGACCACGATAGTGGGTCCATTCTTCATCAATGGAAACCTCAAGGCTGCTGGATATTTGAAATTGCTACATGATTATGTGTTTCCCTCTTTATGCACTGAAGCTGGCACGTTCCCTGAGTTTTTCCAGCAAGACGGTGCACCACCACATTATGGGTGCCAGGTCCGAGCATTCCTAGATGAACAGTTTCCTGGAAAGTGGATTGGTCGTCGTGGGCCAGTTGAATGGCCCCCAAGGTCTCCCGATCTGACCCCCTTAGACTTTTATCTTTGGGGTCATCTGAAGGTAATTGTCTATGGTGTGAAGATACGAGATGTGCAGCACCTGAAACTACGGATACTGGATGCCTGTGCTGGCATTTCTCTTGCGGTGTTGCTATCAGTGTGTGAAGAGTGGGAGAAGAGGGTTGCATTGACAATCCAACACAATGGGCAGCACATTGAACACATTTTATAAGTGGTCAGAAACTTGTAAATAACTCATGAAAGAATAAAGTTACGTTGAAACCAAGCACACCATTGTTTTTCTTGTGACATTACCAATATGTTTGATGTGTCACATGGACTTCTTCCTATTGAAAAAACAAAAGTTGTATCCAAGATGGCCGACTTCTAAATGAGCACCATGGTCACCACCCATCTTGAGGAGTTTGTCCCCTCACATATACTAATGTGCCACAAACAGGACTTTAATATCACCAACCATTCCCGTTTTATTACGGTGTATCCATATAAATGGCCCACCCTGTACTTACTCAGAAGTTTAAGTCAACAAGTCAAAAATCTGAGATATTAACTTGATATTTTGACTTAGCTCTTCCTGCCATTTTTCCCCTTTCAGTGGTGAAAACAAGCTTTCACATTTCGTTTGTCTGAAATAAATTATGATTAAATTATTATTTCATTGGCTAGGGATAAAAATAAAAAAGAAATACATAAATAAAATAGAAACTTTTACCTACTGGACTTACATTTTGACTGTAGGAAAAGTACTTTTTGCTATTCATGCTATCGCTTGAAACTTATTATTATCGCTTTACAGCGCCATCATATTGTAATACTTTTGGTTGTCTTACCGCTCCAGTCCAGTCGGTGGCGGTAAAGCTTCACGAAACAACACTGACGGACTGGAAGAGAAAACCAGGAACTGACTTTCTGCTGTGAGCGATGGAGGAAAAGGCTGCTAGTGATAACCCTCAAAAAACATTTACGTGCCAGTTGTGCAGTTTAACTAGCCCCTTTACTTACTACGGACAGAAACCGCCTAACACCAGAGCTATCGTGTAAGTGAAAATGAAGCAAAAAACAAACAAAAAAAACAACCCGTACCATTTTTAGAGCTCTGGTGTTAGCAAGGCTAACGCTAATGTTGTTAGCCGCTATGTAACTAACTGCATGCTGCGTTGAACACGGAGAGAAATAAAGTGCCCAGCGGTGACTAGACTGCACTTGCAGCAGAATAAGGCTTGAACTATGTACATGTGCCCTTCATGACTTAAAGATGGGCCAGAGTTAAGCATGTGTGTTGTTGTCTGTCGTTCGTCAGGCTGCTTGAGGAGTGTTTTATCACCAAGGACCCCTTCAGTCCGGACAGGGAGAAGTTTCTAGTTTTGGGGTCCATTTGCAGCCTTTGTGGCACTTGTGTCTGTGTTGGATCGGTAAGATGTCTCATCATATGGTCAGAATATTTTCCTATCATTTAATCTCACCCATATTAAACCGTGTTGCTAAGCTGCAGACAGGGTTCAAGGTGACAAATAAAGAACCTTGAACAAACTCAACCAGGAGGACTGTCCTCAGCTGTGGGCCAAACGTCCTTTTTGGATTTTAAACCCTGTGCTTTTGTCATAATTTTCCACTTGCAGATGCATGTCTGTGGTTTTGATATTTTGCTCAGATGACTCTCCGATCATGTGGCTGAAATGCTGAGTGGGCTTCATGGTTCTAAATCTCTTGCAATCAATATTCAGTCTTACAAGTGGATGGTGAAAATAAATCAAGTCCAAAGAGTAGTGGCACCCACTACCTTTTGGACTTTACTTATGCAAACATGGAGAGCCAAATGCTGAACTTTTGTCATTTCTGTTTCCTTCTCACTTTGTTAGGACTGCAGCCTTTTCTACACCAAGAGGTTCTGCGTGCCATGTGTGAACAAGCACTTGGACCAGTTTCCCCATCAAATTCAGGTCGAGCTGGCTAAGAAGAAGCAGAGTGCAAAGGCTGCAGTGTCATGAGATCGGGAAAGGAGTCCACAACACGTGTGTGTAAAGATGACCACGCTGGACCAACCAGGAAAACAGTGGTTTACACTGTGAATCAGACTGATCGACTTTCCTGCTGGATGTTATTTATTTATCTTAAAAGAGATCGATAAGGGTGACATCTTATTAGGTTGATGGGCCTTCCCAGCCAGTTGCTTGTGGAGGCCAGTTTGGCAACTATTCTGGGAAAGAATGTGAACTATATGCACTGTGCGATTCCACAAACAAGTATAGCTACCATGTAACTGTTTTAGTGGCAGAATGTGGCACAGTTGCATCATCCCCTATCAGTTACATTTAGCTGTTGCGTTAAGCATTTACTCCCATTTTATTTTATTTTTTTACTTGAAGCATACACAGCATTGAATCCGCATCTCTGCTTCCATCTGCATAAACTTGAGCAGTGTCTGTGAAGCACCATTAAAATAAAAACATCGCCTTTTGCATCGGCTGTCTGACTTTTTCACTTATTATTCCAGTTTACCTGTCCTGAGTCCAGCATTCACTTCAAGGATTGTTCCCTACAGCACCACGCACCGTTTACAGCAGCATAAACACATTATGGATTAAACAGCGATAACATCGATATAACGCACACACTCGCTGTGTTTATCCCTACATGTTCAGAGGCTTCTCGAGGGCTAATTGAAGCAGCATGGTCTTGCAGGCAGGCCCCAGAGGGTTTTTTTTTTACTGGCATATGCTTGCAGAGGAATGCAGATGACACTGAGTTTAAGTTTCCCTTTGATTATTACAGGATTCCTACAAAGCCCACAGAATGCCAATAAAGTTGATGATCACTAGTTAAATAATGACTTTTTTTAAACAAATACAAAATGAGAACTCTTAGGGGGGAAATTGGTGTGAAACTGAAAGTGATTTTTTTTTAAGTGGTTTCTATTTTCTGTTTAAATTCTGAGCACGCACACGAGCAATTACAGCCAGTGAAGCACACAAACCAGCCCTGTGGCACCAGTGGCGAAGTCTGACAGCGATAGGCACCGAGCCAACGATGACGAAGCCCTTCGCTGATGTCACTGGAGGGTGAGTGGGTGCCTCGTTTCTTTTTTTCGCCCCCCCTTTTTCTCGCACTTTTCTCGCATTGGAGCCCCCAGGTGTCCTTCAGTGACCTTGGAGCTGTAACTGAACAGAGCTACAGTGATCGCATTAAGCGTGTCCAATCTGCTTACGTGACGCCAAATCAAATCATGCAGCAGTATCTGTCAGCACTCGCACAATCGTTTGGTGACCGATTGCCGCCGCGGTCCCGTACTCGGAGCGCTCTCTCTGCCCGGTAATCCCGGTGTCAGGTGTTAACACGTGAGGTCTGATCTTCACCCCGCTGCGCGCTCTCTCTCTTTTATTTTTAGCGATCGTGCTAATGAGAGAGATAAAACAACACCTTAAATTTGTAACTACACCCTTCCTTCCCTGTCTCCTGACTCCCGTGTGTAACGAAACGCAGTAATTAGGCCATATTCATGTGCACAGTTATTCCAGCTCCGCTCTGTGTAAGAGTTTCTGGGCGGTTCTTAGTTCAGACCAATGAATCGCCTTCTCTGTTTAAATAGTCCTTGATGTCAACTTTTCTTCTACACTCGGAGCTGCCTCTAACGCCATGTTGGCTCTTATGACTTGATGTGTTTTCATCTGCCTTACTACGGAGTTGACAGGAGTGGCTGTGTTAAATCCCCCTCCTCTTCCTCCACACACCCACCCAGCCAGCCTCCCGTGCGCCTTCGGAGACGCTTTTTCCCCCACCTCTGAAATTTTTTTTTTTTTTGATGATACGCGCGGAGCATGCATGCATCATTCCCGTGACTGTCCGTTTGAAAGGAATACTATTTCGGAAGCAGCGATTTGAAGCACGCGTGTGTTGTTTTTCGTCGTTGTATGTGCAACAAAATGTCAGATGTTCGCCTTTCTAACGCGAGCCCGGTGGAGAGGGTGGATGCTCGGCAGCAGGACAACGTCAGAACTTCGGTTCGCAGAAATCTTTTCGGTAGACCGAACCCAGAAGAGATCCGCAGGGATGCGGAGAATTCGGCGCGAGAGGAGGTGCAGCGTTTCAGGGAGACTTACGATTTCGATCTGGTGGAAGACAGGCCGCTCGCTCCGCGCAGTTACGACTGGGTGCAAGACGACGACGCACCGGAATTTTATAGCAGGCAGCCTCACAGCAGACCGAGAGGCTCTCCCGGAGACAGCGACCGGCTGGATAACGACGGCGGTGACAGGCCGTCGGGTCTCCAACCAGGCAAAAACGGTTCGAAGAAAAGGAGTGCAGAAGATGCAGGTGAGAGCTGTCATCTTTTTAGTTTTGATTGGTTTTATTTGGGCGTCTCGGAGGTGCAGCAGTTGTGTGTGTGTGTGTGTGTGTGTGGTTCAACCACCGTCTTATTTTGAGTTGTTACTGAAGGTGAAACTTTGCGGGAAGTTCTCTGAGAACCAAAAACACGCCATATTACTGATGCACACCGTTTCCTCCTCGGGCAGCTGATCGCACAAATGCGTCTGGTGGCTTTTAAAAATGTACTCCACGCGACAACATCCTGATAACTTTTTCTGCGTGTGCTCCCCCCCCGCCCCTTCACTACAGACTCTTGCTCCACCGAGTGTTTGACTAAAAGGTCGCGTAGTAGAGATGGTGGCGACGACGATGACAAGTCGGACGGTGCAGGAAGTCAGACGATAAGAGCCGCGGAGGAGAGACCCGGCAGACTCGAGGTCTGAGCGGTGCTTCAGCGGGCAAACAGCGCCAGGTTAGGAGTCAGTGTCTGCACAAATAACCCAGCATGCTATTTATGCGTCATGTCATGTAAACACAGTGTTTCTGAGTATGACTGGTCAACCCTTTATTGTGTGTGCGTGTGAATAACTGCCTTTTTCCATTGTACCATTCAACAGCCTCGTTTCCTCTTTATGTCCCACAGAGCAGAGAGGAGAGACCTGTTGCTGATGGAATACTGTAGCTTTTTTCTCATCATCTGACAGAGGGGAGAGATTTTTTTTAAATTATTATTATTTTTATTTTATTTTTTTAAAGCAACCTTTTCCTGCAGAAGAGAGGAGGGAGAGGCTGCACAAGCACTGAACATGTACACTATCAAGTTTTGGCACTCATATGAATTAATTTGCCTCAGAAGCAGCAGACAATGTAGCATTGTGCAAATTGATTTTTGCTCATTTGTTTTGTATCTACTACCTATGTTTCAGATGTAGCACATAAAAAAGCATATTATGCTTTTCATACTTTTTTTGTTAATTGTGTTTTAAGTGTAAGTGTGTGAATTTGACATGGGAAGTTGCAGTGCAATTTCCAACAGAGAAATATTATTTTTGTTATAGTGGTCATTTAAAAAAAAAAAATCATTATTCAGGTAATTGATATAAGTAAAAAAAAAAGAAAAATAAATAAATGCAGATTAAAAAAAAAAAAAGTCAGGGTTATGTGGAAACAAAATGTCTTCACTTTTTCTATGGCTTTATTCTCCCAGTGTTAAATATCTTTATTTTGAAGGTCCAGATGGCCACACTGTAAGTTGAAGGTCCATCTAACTGGGAATAGCCATGACAGATAAAGTTTACACACAGATCATGTCTCCCTGTTTCCCAGTTTTATGTCATTATTTTATTATAATATTTCTTTTAAGGATGGGGGAGGCCCAAAGTTTGTGCCTTTAAAAAAAAGAAATTCTCTGGGTGAGGGGTGGGAGGGGAGGATGGCTAAACTGCTGAGCAATATCCAACCAAATTTTTTTAACAGTATTTGCTAATAATCCTAAGATTTAGCTTTTATTTTGAAATTAGGTAAGTTCATATTCTATTTACTTTTAGGCCACATATCCTTCCCCTTAGTAAGTAATGCATGTTGTCCAGGTCAACATAGATAAACTATGTTTTAAAAAAAAAATCACTGGGCCTTTTTCTTTTATGCAAATATGTGAATCAAAGATTTGTCTTTGTGGTGTGGAATTCATGTGGAACATGCAATTGCACTATTCATTTCTCATTTTAAGTGAGGGCAGAAAAACAAAGTGACACCACCTCACTCGGTGTAAAACTTTGAAGTGTACCTGTGTGCCTCATTTTTTTTCTGTCTTTTTCTTTTTTTTTTCTTTTTTTTGAAAAACACTGAAAAATTATACTAACTTATTTATGTTGAGCTTTTTTTTTTCTTTTTCTATCTTTTTTTTTTTTTGTGGATGTATGTATAGCTTCCCAAAGCATAATTTTTTGCATTTTTTGTAAATATATATTTTCATTATTGTTTTTAAGATAAATAAATAAAATAGCAAAACTGAGCCTAATAATTGATTTTATACCCTGTGCTTGTGTTTTTTTCCCCCCTATTTTCTTTAAAATGCAGCTTGATTAATTAAAAGAGCATCGCTTGTATACTAGAAACAAAAGCCGCTCCACCCTTCACAAACGCCCTAAGTTTAGTGATCCGCCCATGTAAACTACAAGACTGATCATAGTAATTATCAAGTCTTAGGCAAAGACCTGGGGTATTACCACATTGGAGAATAATTGTTCCTTTCAGCATGTGGAATGACAAAGCAGCTCTAGCTACACAATAAGAAACAGTCAAATCACTCAGTGAAGAAGTATTTGTCACACTTTTTTAAGACACTTTACTATTAAATAATGTGCAAAATGAACTCTGCTTCCTATGAAGCTACTGCTCAGTAATCTTACATATCTTGTATGCTGCAGGACTAAATCCCTTATGCCGCAGCAGAGTGCAGACTGCGACTGTGCTCGAGCTTTTTCAGCTAAGCTCTGCCTCTAAAGTTGAAAACAACAAGGGTATGTCCTGAGGAAAAGAGAGGGAGAGAGAGAGAAAAAAACTTTTTTTTTTTTTTTTTTTTTAGTTATTGCCCTTCCCTGTCTCCAATCACAGCAGAGAGAAGAAAAGCAGACCACTTAGGAGCCAGCCAGTCAGATAGCTGTGGGAGGGAGCTTTGGACAGAACAGGCTATTCCTTTCATAAGACACAAACCACCCAATTAGTTTCATTGGCTGACTCTTTCCCGTTGATACCAGTGTCTAGGAGTTAAACAGAGTGAGTGAGCGAGACAGCTTTCCCTATGATATACTGGCTGTGAGTGTCTGCAGTCATTTTGAGCTAGCTCATGCCCCTTCTGTTAACTTTTACAGAATTATAAAAAAAAATTCACATGCTTTTAACCATAAGTGTCAATTTGCACTACAATAATAAATTGCATCAGCATTAATCTGACATTTATCCACTCAGGGGAAGTTTTCAATTGTCTTTCCTCTGGTTCGGTGTACTTTATGTGTATATTAACTATTAACTGTTTAATAAGCTCTTAACACTTCTGCCATAATCGCTCACTTTAAAGAACAGCCTTTTCCGGTTCCTGAAAGTAGGTTTTGTGCTGCTTACGAACTTATTTTTCACCCGTTTAAACCCAAACTACAGTCATGTTAAAAAAGGGAAGTTTTCACAGGATTGTGTGAAACATTAAATAAGCCCCCTGATTCAGCAGCTTGTAGAATCAACTTTAGCCACAATAACTTTAAGTCATTGCTTTCTGCACGACTTTATCAGTCTTTATCAGCGGAGGATTTCTGTCCCGCTTTGCTTCAGTTCACTGAGGTTTGTGGGTATTCGTTTATGCACATCTTTCTTAAGATCCTGCCACAGTATTTGAATCAGGTTTGAGGTCTTGGCTTTGACTGGGACACCTTGATTTTTCTTTCTTTTTCAGCCATTCTGTAGTAGAATTCCTGCTGTGCTTAGAATCATTGTCCTGTTGCATGATGCAGTTTCAGCCAAGCTTTAGCTGTTAGACATATGGCCTCACATTTGACTCTAGAATACTCACACTGGTAATACAGTGGAGTTCATGGTCAGTTCAGTGACTGCAAGGTTATCATGTCCTGTGGCTGCAAAATAAGCCAAAATCCCCACCATGCTTGACAGTTGGTATGAAGTGTTTGTGCTGACAAGCTGTGTTTGTGTTTTTGACAAAGTGATGCTGTGCATGATGGCCAAACATCTCCACTTTGGTCTCTTCTGTCTAAAGGACATTGTTCCAGAACACTTGTGGTTTACTCAGATGCAACTGTGCAAACCTGCCATGTTCTTTTTAGAGAGAAGAGAGAAGTAGAGAGAAGTCTTTAGAGAGAAGTCTTTTTTTCCTAATCGTGCTGTCATGACCTTTAACATTTAACATGCTTACTAATGTGTGCAGAGTCTGTGATCTCGCTCTTTGCTGTTTAGGAATTTGTCTGAGCATTGTCTGACCCAAGGGCGTATTTGCTGGGAAGACTGTGGCATTGTATTAACACACACCTGAATGCTCCAAACCACCACAAAGCCAAAACCTCTGCTTTTTAGAAAGGTGGTGACACTTGCTGATGATATATTAGTATCAATCAAAGTCTGACTGAATGACTGCTCATGGCTGCTAGTTATCCTCTTAATCGCTACGGAAGCACTAAGGGTGTACTTAATTTTTCACAGGACTGCAAAGACTCCTATAAGACTTTTTTTCCCCATATGACTGTAACGTCATTCGTGGAAACATGCAGACCGTGCAAACCAAAGACTAAAACCAAAGCCTTTCCGGTCAGTATTTATACAAAGATTATCACATACAGAGTGCACAAATGAACAAATCATTACCCTCTTTTATCCAGCTAAGTCTAGCTAAGCTAAATTCTGTTCAATGAGACACTGACCAATGAAGGAGACAGAGGTTCAAAAAAACCAAAGACAAGTAAAGGCTAAGTGTGACCTCTACTATAGTTAGCTACCAGGGGTAACGTCACGACCTCTGCTGTGTCTTCATTGGTGTTATTATCACAAACATAATATGTTTGCAGTAAGTGATATTTCTAAATAGAGCACAGCACCTATTGCGACCATAAAAGACCAGCTTCTCAGATTCACATATGGCTGTTTGAACCCTAATGAGAACCAGAACCTATAAATGGTTAATGTTATATTTGCATGCTGTCAACGTCCTGGCCAGCAGTGGCAGCAAATGTCAAGCATTTAGTCATATCAACAGAGTCAGAGCTCTGTAGATGTTACTGAAGACAGAAGCGTGGAAGTCACATTAAGATGTTAAGACTGAAGAACAAACAATTAAATGGAAATGGATCTTTCAACAGGATGATCACCCTAAGAGCACAAGTTGCTATATGGATCCACAAGAAGAAATATTTCAATAAACCTTGTGGTGCCAGGGGATCGACTTACTTTTTCCACATGCTCTTTGTTTTTCACATGACTTTATCTCTAAAATTTACTTTTGCAAGATTAGATCTCTTAAAAATTAGATGTTCCTCACTTGGCTATTACTTTTGTTGCAGTGGAAGATTAAGAGGCGTAGGATCTAACATCAAATCTTCCATCTGCATCTTTACTTGCATCAACCCTGAATGGATAGACAAACCATGTTTCCTTTTTTTAAGCTCTTCCAAACACAAAGGAGCTCGTTTCCTTTTCTTGCTTCCAGTCACAACATTTCCCAACATTTTTCCAAGTCCCTGAACACAACTTTTGATCTCCTTCTCGTGTAGTGATTTATATCCGTCTACAATGTGCGTTTAGAGGGGTGATGGTGGTACCTTTCATGCCAAAGACCTAAGTTTGAGTCAAACAAGTTGCATGCTCACCCATCATTTGTACCTTTTATAAATACATTATTAGGTTTAGGCATTGAAAACAACTGGGTTAGCCGTGAGGCTCAGCTTTCAGTTTAACTTTCTGAATAGGCTGGGTCTCAGGAGAATAAATTCACAACTAGTCGCCAGCCAGTCACGGAGTGCATATATTTCCCTAGTGGTTTCCAATGGTCTAGGCCTACATGACTGGGGCTTCAATAATGTTCAACTTTATTTAAATAGTGCCAAATCACAACAACAGTCACCTCAAGACGTGGTAGATAAAGACCCTACAACAACACAGAGAGAACCCCAACAATCACACAACACTCTTAGCAAGCACTTGGCAACAGGGGAAAGGAAAAACTCCCTTTTAACAGGAGGAAACCTCTGGCAGGACTAGGCTCAGGGAAGGGCAGCCATCTACCGCAACCAGTTAGGGGTGAGTGCAGGGAGATAGGACAAAAAAATACACTGTGGAAGAGAGCCAGAGATTAATAACAACAAATGATTAGAAGCAAGGTGGCGCATAAACAATGATGAAAAAAGGTGAGTGAAGAAGAAAACACTCCTCTCTCCCAGAAGCCTAGACCTATTAGAGCATAACTAAGTGAGGGTTTAGGGTCACCTGATCCAGCCCTAACTATATGCTTTGCCAAAATGAAGAGTTTTAAGCCGAATCTTAAAAGCACAGAGTGTCAGTCTCCCGAATCCACCGTGAGAGC